CACAATGAATATACCTTATTAGATATTGACGCTACTGAAATAAGAATTATTTTTTTCATTTTCATTCTATAAAAGATATTTTCTGATGTCCTTATCAATATTTCTTCTGTAAAATATATAATTCACTATTGGTAAAAATTATTAGATTGTCATACGATAACAGATAAAATTTGATATACTGTAAATCTACGACATATAATATTCCACTGTTTGTATTGTGCATTAATTTTTTTTATTTAATTTATAATTTAACTTTATCAATAATTTTATATTTATATTTTATTTTTATTAAGATAAATAAATTAAAGTTACTCACTTTATAAAAAATTATATTTGATATTATATTATTTAGTAATTCAATGGATTTATTAATAGTAATTATAATATATTTCACTTATGTCTTAAGACTTATCTTTGGCATATATTTCATTTCTTAAAAAACTTATTATGAATTTAATGAATAGTTTTAGTTTAAAAAAATATTAATTTTTACATTCTTTCTTTCAAATTATTGTTAAACATATATGCATACATTTGGACAGGGGGTGGGGAGAAAAATAAGGAGGATATTTATTAGCTTAATTCACAAAAAGTGATAAATTTCTGAAGGGGGGGGGATCCCCCGGCTACACCTATGGTATATTTATATGATATGATAAATTTATAATTTGTTCCATCCATATATTTCACACAGTTTTCACGCTTTTAGTTTATTCTATCATTTAAATTTAAGCAGTTATAGATTTTACCCTAAAACATCTAAGTTCTCTTAAATCTATATGAGGTACAAGATTTGGACAACTTTGATAGGATAACCTGCATATTTCCGAATATTGCTAATTTGAGAAAAAATTTTAATTGGAAAAAATAATTTCTAAATTTTAAATTTTCCCAAAAGAGGGGAAAAATTATTTATTGATAATTAATTTAAATCTATTTGTGACATGGAGAGTAAGTAAATATTATATAATGCCTTTGTTATAAAATATCATCAAACATGATGTTATATAAGAACTTCAGTGAAATATTACAAGATGATATTGTTGTTGAGATAAAATATATTTAACCTTTTCGCAATATATTATTTTATTTTCTTGAAATAATTTTCATATTCAAGTTTTTATTTTTAAAAAAAATACAATTCCTTCTGATCTGATCAAAAAAATAAATGTGAAATACATAAGATAAATATTCTAGTTTAGGGTTATTCCTGTAGATCCCTTGGCTATTTGCAAATCTAGCACAGTCAACTTTAACATCAAAGCGCTATCCAAAATTAATAAATTTTCAGAAATATATAAAGAACATACTTTTATACATAATCTCCTTTACATTTGCCACATTTGGTTGCCGTATTTTACCTTCTTCAAGGAACTCAGTTCTCTTATTGGTAAAATATCTGAACCCAGTGAAGGTTTTTACCTTAGGAAAAGACTCTAAATGCCATTCATAAACCTAATTGCATTAGTTTCATTGGAAGCCTCCTTCGTAAGGAGCAACAACCTAACATATTTTTAAATTCCTTTTTACATATTTTATTTTTTTAATATTTAATAATCCTTGCTACATATTTTATTATAAATGACCTATACGCGTTTCATTTTCTTTTTGAAACAAGAATGTATATTCAAATTGTTTTATATATATATAATATAAAGAATTTAGAGAAAGGATTCATCATGTATATAATAAAATAAAATTTATCTTTATTTGCACCAAATATTATTATAAAATAACAATATTAAACAGTCAATTTACTTAAAAATATTTACCTTTTGATTCTTATTTTGTCCTTAACAAAAATTATATATAAACATCACTTATTTTATAGAAACCGATAAATATAATACATGATTATTGTACAACATTTATTAAATGAAATTCTTGTAATCTATCTACATAAATTATAGAAACATCGATTATTTTACAACTTGATTTTATCTGTAATTCACTTAAAATCTGATACCCTAATTGATAATAAGAGTATTTGTAGAGAATTATTGATAAAATATAGTATAGTGTACATTGATTTTTTTATTTTCCAGGACTCGAACAGAATATTTGTTAAATTTTGTATTAAAAATAAAAACATTTCGGTTCTGATTTTTAAAACTTACACCTTTCCGGAAAAAATGTAAAATAGAATAAAATTGAAATTCACAAGCCATCCCAGACACACATTTATAAATATAACATCGTCACCACTGCAAGACCTCGTAAGTAGGATACCTGAAATTATTCAGGAGAAAAACTGTTTTGATTGTTATTATAAAAATCAGAGACCTGCAGGCCAGGTGCAGTCATAAGCCCGACCCGGGTACATCGGTCGGGCCGTATTTTCATTTTTCAAATCCCCGGGCTGGGTCTAAAAAACATTTTTAAATATGTGGGCCAGACCTAAAATCTTTTTAAAAATACCAGAACCGGGCCGTAAATTATAAAACTGAATATTTTAAATCGCCATTATTGGCTATAAAAACTAAAAATAAATGTAAATATTTTAAAAAAATTCGGGTTAGACCTGAAAATATGAAACCCAGGCCGGACCGAGCCAAAAATTATTAAAAATAAATCTGGGTCATGCAATAGGTACAATCTGCAGGGCTGTAATATAATATATACTTATTAATTTTTTTTATTAAAATAGCCAGAGACATATAATTGGCCTAATTATATTCTTATGATTTACAAATCAAATTTGTATTAAATTTTGTTTTATAATAAATTTGTGATATTTTTTCTATACAAGTTTTATATAATATTATAAATAAGATTATTAGGCTCATCTTCAAGTATTGTAGATGATAATTTTGTTTTATATGAATAATAAATTAGTGTAAAATTTGTTCAAACAAATTTGCCTATTTTATGTCTTTTAGGCTGTGAATACCATTCGTGGAAAATACATCAATTTGAAATGTATTTCACCTTCAGGCAAATATCTTTCACATCTTATGTCCTTTACAGCTTGATCCCCTTGCTTATGTCTTGGTAGTATAATATTTAATTTGTACATAATTTTTTTTAATCTGCGAATCTAACCCCGTAGGGATTTATTACGCAGGCTTCAGCAAACTTCGACATAATCAGTTGGAAGATATATATTCCTGTTTTGAGTGGATCGATTCCATTTCTATCTGAGTATGGTATTTTTCTAGAATATTTTGAGTTATGGTCATTTGTAATGTCCAAATATAAGGCATTTGACAAAACGGTATTCCGGTGTTCACACCACTGTATAAAATAGTTTCATAGGTATTATTTTTTTGTATATATGTTGATAAATAATCAAATATAATAGAGAAAACTCTATTACATTTTTATCATTCTTTAAAATTAAAAAAACTTTGTATAAGATTAATGTATGGTTAGAGATATAATTCTGTGGAACTTATTTTACAATAGTGAGATGGTAATTTGGCATATTCGGTTAAAAATTTTTATTAATAAATATGTTCAATTTGCTCCTTCTAGAAACGAGTTTTTACTATTTTGATAAATCCTACTTCCATTTAAACTTGAGCAAGTCCAATTAAAGACAATCCATTCCCTCGTGAGGAAGATTCTTTTGCACACTTGCAACGTTTCCTGATTTTTCTTTAAATACAAGGTTAAAAATGGGTTTATGTCTACTATCTATGTTAGATAAAATTATTTCATATAATCAACAATATCCCAATCCATTTTAGTCCCGAAATTCTTCACAATTTTTGAGTTTTTCTTAGTAATTTTCTTGCTCTATCCCTAGTTTCATTTTCATTATTTATAACAATATCCATATTTATTTTTAAATTTTCATGATTTTGGTCAGATTAACATTTATGATAAAAATGCGTAAGGGATAAGTGAATTCACAAATTTGATCAAATTAAATCATCTGATAACTAAAATAATTTTATATCAAAACAATACATCAGAATTAATTAAATCTTCCATTTTATTAATTGTGACATCAACAGAATGTAATGATATGATATAAAGGAAATGATAGGAATATTTGATGATAAAAATTTGGCCTTACAAAAATTTGAGCCCAATAAATATTTAAAAATAGAACGTGGCTTATGAGGTTTTAATAACATTATTTTATTTTTAGAAAAAAATCTGCAAAAACAAAGTATTTTGAAAAAAATATCAATTAAGAGGTTTTTGTCTTTTTTTTCATTTCAAATTCAAATGCAAGGTTATGTTTATTTGATTTAAAAGAACTGAGCTTTATTGGTTATTGAGACAAGATTTTTTAGATGATATCTTATAGATGAAACCATTTATCCAAAAAAACGTATTTTGAAAAAATACTACCTATAAGGTCTTGCAATGGTGGCGAAGATAAAGGGTACAATATATCTTTTTTACATTTATCTACTATTGCATATTGACTCCAAATCTCAATTCCAAATTTAATTTAAATCTATTCCTTATACTTGTTCCCAATTTGGTAACACCGTTTAGTAAAATGTCTAATTAATATTTTAGTCAGAATGTTATTTCCTAAGCCTCCAAATTTTTCTAAAAGATGTCCAAACCTTTGTACCATCTATGGGCAAAATCTTCAGGCTCGCATAATATTTTTCAAGTTAAAATATTAAATTATCTGATTAATAACATTAACGCCCTTACCCGATTGAAAATAGGTGCCATTTAAATCTGTAATATATGATATAACTAAAAGATAATATAAAATAAATGGTATTAAAGTATAATATTCGTCCAAAAAAATTAATAACTATCCCTCGAGAACCCGAAATTCATAAACCTTCCCATGGATTATCCATGTCTACTACTTAACCTATTAGCTAGAAAGGTATTAATGAAAAACTATTGTGATATCTTTATTTGTTTATTTATACTATAAAATTATCATCTACAATTAATTTACAATAATGCAAGGGTGTGCAAAATATAATATATTATATATTTCTACAAATAGATGGAAGAGATTTAATTAATTATAATACTAGTTCTGTTTTTTTATAAATTAAATATAAATATTATCGAATCTGAAACATTTTGCTATCATTTTAGATGATAAGGGAATCTCACACTTGATAAGGGCTACACAATTTTTTTTCTCGTGAACAAGTAGTAATACATCAAATTACATATTTTTCCAGCTTGTATTCAAAGTTTTTCGAGTATTTTTTCTACGCCTACCGATATTTGGTCAATATTTTTTTCAATACTTGAAACCTTGATAAAAGATATGTACAAAATTTGTGTATAGCCTTTTTTTTTTAGTAGGTGACTTCTTCATATCTATTTGACTAAAGAATAGTATATACATAGAAAGATATAATTGAAAAGAGGAAAAGGGATTAAAAAATTTTAAGAATTATGATTTATATAATATAAAATAATCTTGTTTATTTAAGGCTTAGGCCATGCCTTCCTCAAAATCTCACCCCCCCCCCCCCCGTATTTAAAGTAAATTATATGATTTTCCTTATATGATAAATAAATACTAAGGAATAAAATGACAAAGTTATTTGAAACATATGAAATATCTTTGTCTAAAAGAACTTTCCTTTTAAAATATTAAAACTCGTTTCTAGTCTCAGACATCGGTGAAGGGCCTGCAACATTCACTAGATTTTTTGCTATGACAAACCAGAATATCTAACTAATAGCTGAAGATATCGGAATAATGTGTTTTTTTTCCTTTTTTTTTATGTTTGTTCTTTAAATCCATACTTTAACAGTTATAATTAATTATGAAGGAGTTTAGATAGCCATCAATTAGAGGGGGTAAAATATTTTTAAGCCCCTTACAAAGATGAGTAGGGTTTGCCCTCTTAAAAGTTGTAAAAAAAAGAATCTATGATTAAATAAGATAAGAAGCAATTTACGTTTATTGCATCAAATCCAAAATTATTACACTTGGAGAATTTAATTTATAAAATCTATATTTCTCAAGCCTTTAACATCGATATTGTTAGAACTAAAATGCAGGATGCGCTTACATTGAAATCTCGGGTTGCTATTAATAAATTCTTGATCTGTACAAATGATTATCAATAAATTAATTCTTATTTTACGATTTATTTGTAACATGACGGACAGGAAACGAATTGTTTAAAAAAATTTTTTTTGTTAACTTATGATCTGATCGTAATTTTTCTCCCTAATAGAGTTCATCGTTGAGTTTTTATATTTTCTTTGAAATGAGGATCTGTCATATTTTTATGAAGATTATAAATGTTGACGAATTATTTCCTTAATTATTGTTCCGAAATATTCAAATAGAATACAGATTTATATTCAAGTATTTTTGATATTTAACTATAATAAGTATTGCAAGTTTTTCAAAAGGAATTAGTTAACAATGAATGAAATTGAAAGGGTTATAAAAAATATGTTTTACTTTTGGTCAGTGAAAACAAGTAGAGACCTGCAAAAGACAAAACTATTCCCCCCCCCCACCGAGCTAACCCGCCTGATCAGATAGGTGCGATAATTTTTTGGAGTGGGTTTAGTCGATTAGTGTAGACCTCTACAGATTGGTATATTTTAGTTTTCTTATTGGAATTCAGGTTGTTTTAAGCAATAAAGATATCTAGATGTTTTAAACCTTTAAAAATCGGGTTATCGTTTTCGCATATAAACTTATCAGAACTTTTTTTTAAAAAAAAGTTATCTTTAAAACATATATAAATAAAAAAAACTCCGGTTTATTTTAGCATTATTGCAACATAAAGTATATCCGATTTATATTTTTATGTTGAGAGCATTTCTATACGCAAACTAGAACAGCTGGCAAAGTAAAATAGTCATACAAAGATATATACAATAAAAATTGGTACATAATAATTAATATAAAAAAGTTAAAACCGGACATTTTTAGGGGTTTGGTTAAAGTTCGGTGATAAAATCTTTGATGTTTCAGGTTCTGTTTGGTTTAGCGGATCGGTTTAGGTTCAACTTGGATTCAAAGGGTAGTATTTTAAAAAATATAATTAAGTGGACACAATATTGAGATATAAATTTTAATAGCCTCTTTGAAAAATAAAGAAAGAAAATATTACTTTACTTGTAACTCAAGTCTGGCTAACCTATAACCAATAGTCAAATTGGACACTTTTACCTTTTCATTATTTTTAGTGGTTATTCCATAAGCCCCTGGTTTTCCTAGTGTTTGGTCCAATCTTAAATTTATATATAATTAATTTTATGATAAAAATTGCTAAATCCATAAGAATTAACACCGTTAGAATCATAGATCAGCATTTCCCAGCCCGTTAAGATTCAAAATACTTTTCGGCCCGGTCTGCAGAAATTTTTTCTGGCCAGGCTTGGTACTTAATAATTTTTTTTAATTTGCTCGCCTGGTAATAATTGTCTTACGGAAGAAAATATGATAAATTTGCATCGTTTTAAGCGTTAAAAATATTAAAAAAATTCTGGGACTTGGGTTCCTTATAATCTTATATTTTATTTAGGAGTTATAATATTTAACAACTTGAAATTTCTCTAGAATTTTGATTAATTTATCTTTCAGAAAATTGAGATTGGTGCTAAAAAATTGACAAAAAATGAATTCAAGACCTTATAGCCGGACACTGTGCCTTTTCATTTGCTTCCTGCTCATAAATTATAAGGGAAAATATTTAAATTATCAAATTTACTTATTTATTAAAGGTCTTTTATTAATACCGCAAAAAATTAAACGATAATTTTATAAATTAAAAATTAAAAATGTTTTATCAAAAAGAAGAGAAAACTATGCGATGAGGAAAGAATTGTAAAATGCAGCAAATTTGACTCATGATTTCCCTAACAATTCAACTAGCTGTAAATGGATTTTAAAATACAGAATTCATACTTAACTTGGCAAGAAAAAATTAAGGTGGCGTTCTATAAGCGGTAGATGAGATTTTTATATGTTATACAAGATAAATGAGGACCAATCCAATATATTTTTTTTAATTTAATGTATTTTGATAATTCCAAAATTGTGTTTAAATTAAAGATATCAAAGTATGTTTGTTTTTTTTGTTGTTTTATAATTTATGATTAGAGAACAATTCTGAAAATGGGCGGATGATTAAATTCTAAAAAGATTCGATGTATAAGTTCAATGTAAATAAAATATAAAATTTTATCTTATGTAACCAATATTATGTTTTGGAGTTATGAAGATTTCAAAAATACAAGTTTTTTTATTGTCATCAAGTATATTCCGTATAATTATGAATGATGAGTTTTTTTAGATAAAAATAATAATTTGAAATAATAAAAGAAGTATAAGAACTAGAAAAAGAACTGATGTTAAGGATAAACCCCAAAATCAGTTTCAAACCGATCTTCGATATTAACAAAAATTTATAGCGTATTTCAAATAAAAAATAAAAAAATATTGAGTGATAATTATTGAGTGGAGTAAAATAATGAAGACTAGAGAGTTATAAAATATTCCTCTTCATTTTAGGGAAAAAATCCAATGTATAAGGAGTTAAGAAATCTTGTTCTCGAGGATATTAGAAATTGGTATAACCTGGAAAATTTAAATTTTACCGCCGGAGTTCTCAATAGATATGATGGCCTTATATTTTCAAGACGAGTTTTTAAAAACAGCTTTTAAATTAAAATCTTGAAAAAATATCTAACCTATCTCTGATAATTGCATAGCATCAAGAAATTCAGATGTTTTCAAAGTTTTTATCTTATTTTTAATATTGCTTGAATTATTAGGAAATAAATTGAAAGAAAAATTTGCCTAGTATATGACTGTATTTCTAAAATTAATATTTAAAAAAACGTTCTAACCTTCTTTGAAGTTCTTTAATGCGAACCATCATATTTAAATGCCCCTGGGAGTATTGTTCTATTACATCTCGAACATCATAAGGTTTTCGTGCTTGCTTAACAAAAAAAATTATTTATATTTGCAAAAAATAATTTTTAGTTTGAGCATTATAGAAAGATCAATTTTACAGGAGGACGGTCTAAAAAGTATGTACGCCCCAATGTTAAAACTCTAAGAACTATATTATTTAAATTTAAGTTTGGAAATATGGATGGGAAGGGGGCTACCCTATAAGAATAAAATATGATCCATGCTCAGTTTCAACTAAAAGTAGATTAAGCCCAATATTAAGGTGAGTATAATGTAGGTATAAAATGGGTAAATAAGTAGGAATTTTTGTTAGATAATTTCAAATCTACTAAACCAGTAAAGGAGAGAATGGCATTATTATATTTCTGATCAAAAATCTTTGAAGAATCCTTATTATTGAACAAATTTTAACAAAAAATGTCAAAATAATAATCTTTAATAGTTAATTTGTAATATTCATGCATAAAGAATCTTTCAAGGGGTGAAATCAAAAATTTTAAAAAAATCTTGTTCAAAAATTTTTTGAAAATTTTTTGGAACTATTATCAAAACACATCAAGTTCAATGCCTTATCACAATATTAGAATATAAATTTTAGAAGCTTTTATGATCTCAGCCGACAACATAAATATACTATATAATAAAATATTTCGATAATTAGTTTGTAATACTACCTGAAAATATCTACGGGCCAAAAAGTATTTGACTTTCCTAATAAAGCGGATACAGTTCTTGTGGACAGGTTTTAAACTTGTAATAAAAGGACCACATAAAATTATAAAAAATAATAAATTGCAATATAAAATAAAAATAGTTCTCATTTTCACATCAATATATGTTTTTTATTAGTTAAGAATGAAAATCTTCCATAATTTACTGTTACAATGATAAAATTATCACTAAAATAAGTGTTAAGGTTTTTGTTGAATTGCTTTTTAAAAAGTGGTATGTAGCAAATTAAAATAAAATGAATTTAAAAAGTAAATTCAAGCGTTTAATAAAAAATTTAGTTCTGGTAAAAATTACAAATAAAATTATGCGGCTTTAATATTATTATAAATCTTAGTTTAGTTAATAATTATATATAAATAAAAAGGCTGTGGGCTCTTTTTGGGATGCTAAAATCTTTGTAAAACAATTTGAGATAGAACCAGAGGTAATAGTGAAGTGAACTGTTCTCATTAAGTCACACCCTCAACCATCAAGAATATAAGGAGAATTGTCTAGAATTACTAAAGTATCGTGTTCGTAAAAAGACCATGCTAAAAAAAATATTCAATCGATATATATATATCAGAATTGAAATGGATAGTTTTTAAATTCAATTATTTAATGCCGATTTTTTAAAATATATCACGTATCAATCTTTATTTTTTTTATAATTATGAAATGCCTTAAAAGTAATACTTTAATGTTTTCTATTATAAACCTCAAGGACTGTATTTGTAATTAGATAAATTATTTTTAGTGTTTTAGATTTGTATTATATAAATCGAAATATACGTGGTCAGATTGGAAGATATTACATCATCATCCCCATCGCCTTCGTCATTGGTTTCATATGGATTGGTATTAGTTGTAGAGCCTAGGCTATAATGCTCGCTGTTACCGAAAAGAAATAAATTGCGATTGACGGAACAAAAGGAGGAAGGTGGAGTTCTCTTGAGGTAATGACTGCTATTAAAACTGTTGAGACTTCTAGAGGCTTCGCCCGGAACTAGCACTGTGGAAGCGAAGCTGGGAAGTCGACTATGGTTATACCGAGATGTGCAGCTACTAGATCTTTTGTCTAAAACTTATTATATATTTTAATATCATATTATACTATAGTATAATTGCTATATTTAATCAGGACGAGCCAAAGGGAAGCGCCAACCATGGCTAAAGCTTTGGACTGGCTGTCCGACTTCCAATCCGACCCAAGCATCAGGGACATTATAGACACTTTTGGGCTCGAACCGGACTTAAAGAGGTGGCTCGACGCGAATCCCGATCCCAGGCCGCAAATTAAATGTTAAATATATCTCAATAATCATTTTGTTTCACCGAAATTTCAATCAGAATCACTAATTTTATTACCCAAATTAACAATTTTCTGTGACTATTTGTATTGTGACTAGTTAAAATTCTATTACTTACATACATCAATTCCACCAGCTTAAATAAAAAATATCTTTTTATTCTACATTTAGCCAACATAAAATCTAGATATTAATCTGTTACAACAGTTATAAAATATTTTCATTTTGACAATTTTTGTTTATCTAGGAACTATTCAATGACCTCAGATTTTTATATTTATAAAATTGTTTATAGAATGGATCTAAATTTAAAAATAATTTCTGAATAGATTAGAACTCAGAATTTGAGACCAAAGAAAATACAGAAGAAAATATGAAATATGGAAGAGATTCCTACTTTTATTTAATAAATTTGGGTGTAAAAATATTTATTCTTTCATTATCAATAAAAATAGGCGCCAGGAGAAGTTCCACAAGTGAATTTTTAGAAAACAATTGATTCTACCATGACTCAAGATAGATTGAGTATTGGAAAATGTTTTGCAAGAGTGAAATCAAGAAGTGATGTATTGTATACATTATATTGTGCGGTAATAATTGTTATAGTGAAAATAAAATTGTTTTTATAAATGTTGTGCTGAAATTTTTTTATATATTATTTATTTTTTGTATGAGTGGAGACGGAGTAAGCAGATTTCATAATTTAGCATTGATTAACATTCTTTCAAATTTAATTTTTTTATTCTTCAAGTCTCACACTTTTTATTAAAATCATCGCTCAACTTTAAAGAAGGCAGAAATAAATTATCCCGCACCTCAATGCATAGCAGATTTTTCTCTGTCCGGGCCTGAAGATTAAGATGAATTAGCCGATTTTTAGCCTTTATTCAATTATATAACGGATATTAAAGAAAATATTAAATATAGTTAATAAAAACTTAGTAAATTAGTTAATTCTGAAGAAATAATTATAAATACTCAAGTAATATAATTTTATTATTTCAGTTTCAGAAATCAGATTCCGTTCAGAAATAAAATTCTATTATTACCCTGCATTCATAGTTAGCACGAATTCACAGCTTAGGATAAAATATGCTGTGTTTTTATATAATTCATAGCGAATTCGCTCTAACTTTGAATGCAGGGTTATACATATTATAAACAATCTATATATGTTAGGATTTGCATTTTATATTAAAGATTTATAAGGCATCTTAAAAAACTTAATTATTTATCAAAATTTATAGAGTTATTAATAAAAATTTATGGACACTTGGTAATTTGTCTAATTGCATGATATTCGAGTTATCTCTCTTAGATATATCTTCGTTGTCAAAATTGGTCATATCTGAGCCACGTCTGGAAATATGTAAAATGTTTATTGGTTAAGTTATATATATAAATTAAAAAAAAAAAATTTTAAGATAATTCTCAAAAAATAATAGTTCATAATAATCAACAATTTAAAAAAAATTTGTTCTTTGCAAATCAGATACTACCATTACCTTCCTTCTATATACTTGAATCCATATACTTAAAACGACAATTTAAAAACCCGCAAAAATAGAGGTTTTCATAATCTAAAAAACCATTTACATTGAAAAAAACCTATTATTCTCTTTGTTAGGACTTTCGTTAGTTTCTTCTTGGATGATGTCTATGTTGGAAGATAGTCTTGACCTAGAAGGTTCTCTAGTTGCTACTAAAACTATGTTAGTATCTCCATTAATATTGTTAATATAATAGTTAGGCGATAAAGTGTTAGAATTGGAAGAGAAAAGGGAAGAGGGGGGCATGTTAAGGTGAGAAAGTGTTGGAATTAGCATATCTAGCGTGGGTTTAGCTCTCTTCTTGAGCAAGCTCGCCCTCTTAGCCATTCTATTTAGTGTGGAACTCGGGGTAACTGAGAATTTTTTTTTCACATTTTTTGGCCTCATATATATCTTCCAGGTCACGTCAGACTCGAAGTGTCCACTCGCAGCATAACATCGCCACAAGCACTAGAAAAATATTTTAAGTTTTAAAATTCCTAGTATTCGTAAGAAATAAAGTTTAATATTGCATAATTGGCTGTGTACAAAACCTAAAAAGGCACATTTGATAACTTTTCAAAATTTTAATGGAATATAATAAATAAGCCTTTTTAAATAAAGAAATAAAAAAGTGGCTTAAACTTATTTTTAAAATGTAAGCTTTCAAAAGTTTTATATTTTTAAGGGATAATTTTATTAAGTTTCTGCAATTTGCCCAAAAATAAGGAAACTGCACATCAAAATTTATGATGCGCAAAGACCCATTTTATCGGGATTAAATCGAGGACTATAGTTAGTAGATTGTTTACTTGAAAGATAAATACAGTCAACCTGTCTAATTTGGGCTCTTGATATTTTAGGCAACTCCCTAATTTGACAAAAATTTTGAGTCCCAACCAAATTCCTATTAATTATTATAAGAAAATGTTTTAATAAATTTGACAACTGTCTTCTACTTTGAAAAGTGGTCTGCTAAAGACTCTTTCTATAAAGAATTTGGTTGATGATAATTTTTTATTATATAATTTATTTTGTCATTATTCAACACATTTTTAGAATAGGTCTTCATAAGATAAGACATAAGACATATGATAGCATCATCTATAGTAAATTCATGAGACTTTTGACGATGAAAGATAATGTTTATTAATATTGTTTGGTAATTTTAGCTTGTCCAAACTTTTGAAATAATTTCTTTTTGGATTTTAGCGGCCTTATTTATATATACAAATTCTGGAGGATACCCATATATTCCAAAAAAATTTGAGAGGTTAACCCCCCCCCCCCCTAACAAAGCCATTGTATTAATTAATTTCAAAATAAAGAAAATTTATAGTTTTAGAAAGAAAATGTGTAGATAGAACAATATGTTTTCACGAACTTCTGAAAAAATAATTATATGATTTTTCTTGTTTATTTTAGGAAGGGAAAGGGGGGGGGGGGGTTTATTTTATAATTTTTGAGCTAGCCAACTGAAAATATTCACATGATAAAATCAAACTTGTATCAAAGATGCAGCAGCTGGGATTTGTCGGTTGAAGTGTTTCTGCCGCGTTTTTTGTTGAACCTTAAGGGCGAACCCAGATCCTAAAATACCCTAATTTATTTTAAAATTATTATTCTCAGATTATAAAAAAAAATGAAATTAATCAGATCAGAGGTTTTTTAAATATAAATATATTAATCATTTATTGTGAGCCATAATCTTAGAATTTATTAATAAATTTATCCAAAAAAAATTTCTTACATTTTTTTGTATTTTATTTTGGCGATATGAATTTTTTTTAAATGAAATTTTAATCAGCTCAATATTTTCTACTTTTTTTATAGAAAAAAAGTTAATCTTAAGAAATATTATACTAGATAAGGTCAGACCCGCAGGTCAAAATATTTATATGGATCTGTAGAGCCCTAAATTTCTTAATGAAAATTTATAAAAATAAATATGTTAAGTAAAAGAAAATTATATTTTTATTTTAAACTCTTTTGGCCGACTCCAGTCAAAATCTTTTATAAAAATAATTGATTTTGTGAATTATTTTTCTTCCTTTCGACAAATTTTTATGAACCAGGCTGCATAATTTGTAATTAAATTTAATGAGCCAAGTCGTCGGAGATCAATTTATGAAACCTTCTGGAAGAAATGAACCAAAATCTTTTATCCTTCCTATACCTCATTAAAAACGACCACCTTGAATTGAATTATCTCATGATATCTTTGATTTTTATAAAAAATATATGAAGGCAGTGTCCTGGTTGAACTTATTTTTGATTCTTATTGCTATATAGCCTAGGCTAAACAACTTTTGATATAGGACACCCTATTTTGTGTTCTAAATGTTTTGTGACAATGTTATTACTATTTATTTTCTAGTTTTTTGCTTTGTTTTATTTTTTTCGTGTTCGTTTTTTTTCTTATACTTTTTAGGGCCTAATTATATTTTATATGAGATTTTAGGAAATTATAAAAAAATTCATTATTGTGCGAGGTAGAGATAGTCTATTTGAAACTCATTTTGATTTATGGAAACAAATTTATGTTTTCTGTTTCTTCCACAGTCCTCGGCCCAAGGAGATTTTCTTACTCTCTTCTGAATTTAACAAATTTATGGGTTAATCCTGCCGTTAGACACTTCAATCCTTAAATATCTGGGATAAATTGGGCGTAGCCTCTGTCTACCTCATAAATGTAATGGGTGCGAGAAATACTCCTATCCTAAGGGCCACGGTCTAATCTGTTTAGTAAAGGACGGTTTAGCGGCCACAGAGCTATTAACTATAATCTCAAATAAATTAGAGTTAGCCAACTACCAAAATCTTCTAGAACCCGTTTACCTATATCTGTCTGACGAGAATAGACTAGAATAGCCACAAACATTCATTGGTTTAGAGGAAAACACTTTATTTAAGATTTCACTTGTGTCTCCCAGTTTTCCTTTAACCTAAACAATGATCCAATCATTATGGCCGAAAGATGAAAAGTTATAAAATACCACCACATAGATCCTAGGCCCTTAGGCCATCATTTTTTTAAGATTTTAGGTAAAAGATTTTAAAATAAATGGAGATCATGGATCCTCTTTTATGATTTTACAATTAACTTAGCCTAGCTTTCCTAAACTTTCTTAGTTTCCTTGGAAGTCTCATTTTGCTTTTATCCCCTTTCTTATATGTTTTTTTAAAAAATTTTAATACTTTTTCTTGTTATAAATTCTTTACAATGTTATTATAAATTTAATTTTAATATAGTGTTTTATATATTATGTTATTTTTAATTTAATAAAAATTATTTTATATTTTCCTATTGAATAGTTCAAAATATTCTAAACTAAAAGAGTTAATTGTAATTGTGGCTCTCGACAAGTCTCTACCGCAATTTTATACTACATCTATAGAATATTTATCTGCAAATTCGCCTTTTTATAAGAACAATACTTTCGTAGCTTTCTCTTCATTAATCTATTTATCATATATTTTTTATTTGATTAAAATAGATACTTGGTAAAAACATCAAAAACTATCTAACCATTATTTTTTGCCCAATTTGATGAATGACTAAAAAAGTATTTATTGGTGGTTTACGATATAACAATGGCATCAGTATTGCAGCAACCCATATACATCATTTCCAGTCATGTAATCCCAGATAATTACACTTTTTGGAATTCTTAGCCAATTTTGTTTAACTTTATTTTTCTTTCTTAACACGTGATACTTACTAATTCTTGTATTCTTATCAAAGCAGATTTAATCTCTAAATACCTTTTGAATCAATTTCCTAGGATTCTAATCAATTGTTAATTGTCCAATTAAGCATTTCCTATATTTAAAGGCTATTTTTTGATCATATAAATAATGATAAATGTAGGCAAAATAATAAGCTATTTTTGCCTTATAAAAAGGATAATCTATTTTATGAGCCCTCTCTTTAAAGTGAAATTTGAGAAAACCTTACAGAGGGTCGAATTACAATGACTAAAGACATCTCATAGTCTTCTAAGCCTTTTTTAAATTACTATTTTAACAGGAACGATAAAATGTTTTAAGCCTTTTTCTTGAATTTCCTCGTAACTTTTCTTAAGAATGTGGAATTGTATTCTTTGATTCTCAAATGATATCTTAAACTCTAGATCTACAAATTTTAAGCCATTAGCCATTTTTATTTTCGCTTTCCTCTCTTTCTTTATACCAATAATCACTAAGTAAATGCCTTTAAACGCTTTCAGCTAGTCATTGGTAATGACCCCTTCCGGTTTTTAATCCTGATCGAACCAATACACACGGACACGAAGCGTATTTTAACATGGTTTTAAATAAATGACCGGCTTGAACATAGTCCTAAATAAATAGTCTCCAGTTCAGGACGATTTAATTTTTTTTTGAAATTTTAAAAAATATTTTTGTTTTCCCTAATTTAATTCTTATCATCTTTTTATTAAATGTAAAAGTATTTTAACAATATCAAACCAAATATGGATAATATAATAAATTATACAAATATTTTAATATAAGTAAAATGCTCATTTAAAAAACTTTTCATTTCAATCATAAATATTAAAGTAACTACTCTAGAAAAGTAATATAAACAAAAATATCCAGAAAAAATTAACTAAAAAATGATATGAATTTGAATAGTAAGGCAAACATAAATATTAATAAAAGACCGTCTGGACCTAGATCCAGACGTTAAAATAATTAAAAGGTCTGTCTGAACAGCAGTCCTGGAAAATGACCGATCTGTAGTCAGATACCGGTCTAAGACTGATAAGATATATTGTTGACCTTCACCAGTCAATTGAAACCCGTGGAATGAGCGAATCTAGAAAAAGTTAGAGTTTTGTATATTATTGAAATTAACCTTTTTAAATCTTGTCATAATTCTGGAATGAATGCGATGATGTCACTAGCCTTTGCAATCTCCGGAGGCTCAAAATTTTTTTTTTAATCGGAATTTCTTTTAGCTAACTTTCAAAAAGACCTTTAAAACTTTCAAGGGCTCTTCAAATTTTTTAAATGACTAGAGAATCTATGTCCAGCCCCCCCCCCCAATGACGCTAGCAATGGATGGATGAAAAATGCCTTCATATATTTTTCAATTTTTTTAAATGTTGTTGCTTAAATAAAATTAAGTCGATCGTTTTTATTTGAGGGAGAGTAGTATATTCAAGAGATAAAGAGATCAATTTTAAACCGTTAATTGAAGTATTATAACATAACTCATTAAATTAAACTGGAGCGCTAATAATTTTAATGTTTTTAAAAGTGTATAAATTTACAGCGGGTAAGGCGAAAAAGGATATTGCAAAAACGGCGAAGCAAGATGCCACTATTTTGCCCAACCATGTTTGTGGAACAGTGTCTCCGTAACCTATTGTGGTTACAGTAACCTGGTTATATTATAAATATATAAGAAAATTATTACAGTAAATCTGCATTCTAGCTCATTATTTTTTATTCTTTTTAAAATTTTAAATAGCGGTCTAAATAGAATGTGATTTTTAGATTAAAGAATATACACATCTTTATATTTTAAAGAAATTCTAGCTACTTTTAGGACGAAGTCTTATGGTTCTAACTATCTTTATTGAACTTAAAATTTTTTTAAATAGTATTTTAAATAAATAAAATGAATAAAAATTTGCTGATATATTAATCGCATACCACTCCCCACCACAAAGCGTCAGCATAGCTTTTGAAATCTGTTCGCTTTCCGTCTGGCCCAATTGAATCCCTTTCGGCCAAGTAAACGAAATAAGAAGAAAATATAAGTCCCAAAAATCCAATGTACATGGTAGTTATCAATTCCTGACGGGTTAAAAATAATACATTTATAAAAAAAATAGTCTCTTTAAAAATATCTTTGAGATAAAATAAGATTTTCTTCTAAAAAAGTGGAGGAAATGTTTTAGCTAAAATGGCCATAGCTAATTGGCTAATTTATAGATCCTGTGATATATTTCACTAACCTGTCTATGAACAAAGACCACCGAGCCCAACAATCTCCATGTTCCACCTTGTCTATCTACGTGTAAAATTCTTAGGATTTGTAAAAATCTGATTCCCCTGAATTAAAATAAAAGAAATATATAATTATACAAATTTTTTTTTTAAAAACTATAACAATAAAATGAGGTAATATCTTTTATTATGCTGTAACAAACACACAGAATTGTATTCCTATTACATATTTTTTATACACCCTTTTTTTTACCTGATGGCTGAAGTTGCAAAAATTTGGCCCTGAGATCCTACCGTTAAAACTATGCTTGAAGCGATTACAACTATCAAATCTGGAGGTAATAATAAAAACAAATAAACATAACTTGAGAAATGAATGAAGGAGGGAAAAAATGGATGGAGAAATAATTTTTTATTTAGTTACCGATGATGGAAATGGGTTTTCTGGCAAATCTGAACCGTCCTTTTAGTCCCATATATTTACTCCTACAACCCGAGGACCATAACCTGATAGCATATTCAAACCCGAAAAATACGACCAAAAAGATTTCCTATTGTTTTTAAGAAGAGGATGTTTTATTATGAGTGTCGTTCATTTAATTATTAAAGGCACCTATTTAATTACACAGAATTACAACTGAAATGCTCAGAAATTTTTTTTTATTAAATGCCCAGAATAAAAATTTAAGTTCAGAAAAAATATTGAAGGCTCTAGATTATTTCTTAATTCTCAGATAAAAGGCTTAATAGCCCAGAAAAAATACTAATTTCTCACAACTGAAACGCTTAGATTAAAAAATAAGAACTATTTTTACAAGTATATACTATTGATTTTAAGAATATGTATACAATTATAAATTTCAAAAAAAAATAATGGCCCTTTCCATTTCCCATGTACATCGTCACCCTCTAATTCGATTTTAAGTCACTTATTTCCCCCCGTTTTCGTAGCCCTTGCCGCTTCCTCATAGTAAAAATTACTGATTATGAGGACTTGTTTTAAAAAGTGAATCTTTTGATTTGTAAATATGGTTTTGGCTAAATAAAAATGGAGTAAATTAAGCATTCAGGAATTTCACATGTTTAAAATGGTAAAAAGTCAGAATGTCACTAAATATATAGTGATGAGAATTACAATGTATGTTATCAGTAGATCTTTATATTAGCTTTTATAAGAAACCAATATTGAAATATTATGTTCATCTTCTACATCCACGCTTAATTATAATTATTCTCATAATAAATTGCTCCATATCAATATATTATACTATAAACTTTTTAATCTCACCGCACTTACCATGAAGACGTTGATTAATATCAATGTAATCAATACCTCCTTATTATGTGGATATATTATGCTAGAATATTTTTAACCCCCAACCTTACCGTACCCTCTCTAAAGAGATGACTATCAATAAATCCTTAGCTTAGTTCTGAGTAATTAAGTAAAAAAAATTCGAAGCGTTTCAGTTTTTTATCATGTGCGAAATGATATAAGCCATTGTTAAAGTAAAATTTTATATAATATTAAACAATGGAATAAGGAAAAGAAAGATGGAAGTTAAAGAGAGAAAGAATTGCCTTATCGCAATAGTAGTTTTTAAATGTTTCGTTATAATCCATATAGAAATTGTGAACAAATTTCCCAATACGAATTCTTTATAATATTATATACTCTGGTCTGGTGTTAGATCTTGCAACACCTCTTTTTCCTTTCCTTTTATTTTCTTTCCTTCCTCTTCCTTACCTCCTTTCTATATAAATGTGGATATATTTTAATCGATTACATTACCATCCAATACAACGTTTCATTGGCGAATCCTGCGTATTGATCTATAGTGGACAAAACGCTAAATATGAGGCATATAAGGACGATAACGAATCTGGAAAAAAAAGATATATTTCACTTTAAAATTGATTTGCTAAATTCATTTTTGTTTAAGATTGAAATCTTTAATAGGACTATTTAAAATTTTAAAAAAAATATTGTAAAAAAAAATGACAATACTGATAGGAAAATCGATTTATTGTGGTTAGTTCTAGGTTAAGCGTTCAATTAAGGGCCCCAAGATTTTAGTAGAGTTACAATTTAGGCTTTTTTTAAAATATCCCATAGTTATTTTTTTAATGCCTATCCCTTAGCAATAAAAATATAAAATAAATAAAAATTGAAGTGCTATATAATATTTAACCATAAAAATTATAAAAAAATTGAATTGTACAGGACAAATATGTTATGTAACCAAAAAATATATATAAAAAGCAGAGCTTTTATCGAGGATACCTTACTTATTATTTTAAAAAACAAACAAAGATGTAATTACTGATTGGACGATTGAATTTGCCAAAAAGAATAAAAAATAATATACTTTTGAAAAAAACACAACAAATTAATGAGCTGAAAATACTTTCGTAAACTCTTACTTTACGGCATTGATTTATAATTATTTTTAAATGGTATCAATATTTTACTTTCTATTTAATATTCAAAGTTTAATGTATTAAAGATTTATTGAAGACTGCTGTTATTTCTTAAATTTTTGCTATCTTTTTAGTGATAAAGTTCACTCTTACAGACCTCAAAAAGAGTATGCTTATTATGTTTATAAACCCTATTCGGAAGTATTAAATTTTACAGAGTTGAAATGATCGTAATATTTTGAAGGAAAAAATGATTAGCTCAAAACAAAATTAGTTGGAAGTTGGAGATACACTTATTAGAGAATTCCCAAATAGAAGTATCTGATGGAAAGCATATATATGGTTTTTATTAAATTTAACTAATGTTTTAATGAACGATAAAAAAGGCATTAAATATAGGAATTAAAGGATTGGGAAGAAATCTAATCATTCAGATGCTATCAATCAGATAGGAATATTAACAAATTTTTTTTAAAAAAAACACATTTTCAGGGATTCGAACCGAAACGAATATCTGTTCTGTCTCAGATAAAAAACGGTTCAGGTTCGGTTCTTTAAAGTAATCATTTCAATTTGGTTCGAACTTTATCGGTTTGAACTATATAAATAGAAGAAAATTTTTTTATTCATTAATATAAAAGAAGGAAGTTAAAAATATTCTATGACTTAAACTTATTAGAGTTTTATATTGTAAACTACTTTCACATTATTTTATAAGCATAAAATCATGATGTTCGAACCGGTTCACAATCATTTTTAGCGGCTCTTCAGGTTCAAATATAAAATTAAGGTTCAAATTTGATAAAATATAGGTTAATACCTGTTTAAAGGTTCGGTTTGGATCCCTGCTTAATTTTTTTTTATTTTCTTTTTCGATAAAGTTTCAAAAATTTGTGAATTGAAAAATTTGATATTTAGGGCTAGGGATTAAAATGCCCAAATCGGGTCGATGAATTTTTAAAAATAATATTCCGTAACCTCGAGATTTGACTAATAGAGGTCCAAAGAATAATCTCCAGACTTGCATAATATTATTTTGTCTAAAATTTTAATCGACCGTTTTTAAAAACTGTCAATAAATAAAATTTAAAGAAAAGGAAACCCAAAGTAAAATGTGTTTTTGATTAAAACGTAGGGCGTTATCAATTAAGAATCGAAAAAATAAAAATAAATCATGGGTGAAAAATTGGATAGGATTTATAATTTTATAAAAAAAACAATGTAAGGGAATAAGTAGACGAATAGGCCCAAAAATGAATACAATTAATCATATATTGGTTAATAATATTATCAATCAAAATGCTTACATTACAATTTTATATTAGATATTTTTTGGTTAATAATGTTATCAATCAAAAAATAGTATTGCATAAGGTTGGAATTTGTACTATGATAATTTTAGATTATTAATATTATTTTGATCTGATATAATGAATAATTCCAAAAAATTATGATAAATATTTGAAAATTATAATTTTATTATATATTTCGCCCCACCCTTTTTTAATGAATCCTATGAGAACAGATATTATCAGGACTATTTAGATTTAGAGATAATAGCTAATTAAAAGAAAAGTAGCTGCATATCTCCTAGATTTATTGGAACATTCTAATCTCATAAAATTTGCATCATATATCTACCCAGCCTGAAAGCTTAGCTTGGGGATTAAAAAAAAGGTATAAGGTAGGGGTGCAAAAATTTTGGGCCAGGCCAAGTCGGGCCATATTTTTTTTAAACCTTGAATAATGTAGTTTATCATTTTTATGACTACAAGCCAAGCTAAAAATAATTTTTTTAAATTCTTGACACACCGATCCAGTCCGGGAGATGTTGATTTCCAGTTCACATTTCGAATAACTATTGGTATTTATGTTTTTAAAAATGGAGAAAATATTTACCAGAATTTACATTAATTATTTTTGTTTTATCGTTTTAGATAGAATATTCTTATTGTATAAATAGAAAGAATATAATAGGTATAAATATTTTATAATATGTCACTAATTTTCCTTGCATTCTGAAAATTCTCACAATAATACTTAAGTTATCAATTTGATTTCTCACAAAAACTGGCGTTTATTATCAAATTCGCCTCAATGGCAAAGTAGATCTAGTAACCCTTTTCTGAAACATGATGACACTGTTTTCAATAATAATCTATTTTTCTTTTTCATCCTATGCCCTTACGTTATACCAATGTTTGATAATTTTATTATAGATTTTTATAATAACCTCAAAAACTTTGAAAAAAATGATAATAAAATGTTAGTGCGCCTTCATTTATAATATATGTATAAAATTTAACCATAATTCATAGACCAATTATAATTGTTAATATAATTATCACTTCACATAATTTATATATAATATATAATTTTTATTTTTTATAATATAATTTATTACCTTTATAATATCAAAATATTCCAGAACGAAATAGTTTTAGATAAAATATAATATAATAGCTTATTATTTTGATCAAATTGAAATTATTTTTTCCAAATTGTCTTTTTATTATAATTATAATTAGAGAACTTTGTATAAAACAATAGTTTTTATAATCCACTCCCAATTAATTTAAGAAAAAACTATATATAATTTAAATTATCTGTGCAATCTATAGGAAATTAAGCCTGTTTGTGTCTCTCTAGATGGCTTCACATGTAAAAATTCATTGAAAATAACACCCTGTTTATAAAACACTAACCGTAAACAAAATAGTACTTGGATCCTCAACAAATATTTTTTAGATGTTGTGATTCTATTAATGGCAATAATTTATAAATTGTAAAATACTTGACTGCCAGATCAATATACTACTAAACTCAAAGCTTTAATTAATCACGTCAGACTCATGCAAATGGGGAACTTGCGACAAAAATTGTACTATTTTAGGGGCTGACAAATTTTGTTTCTTATGCATTTAAAAGTGAATAAAAAAGGTGCAGGGCTGTGTCTTAATTCCTCATATTCCTAAACAATTTTCTGTTTAGCCGTCTATACAGATTCTTCCAAACAGCCTAAAAAGATAGAGGATTTAGATTTACCTCGTATTCTCTTTATTTGTATCAAAAAAAATATATAAATAACAAATAATATTTATTTAATATATATACTTCCTTCTTTCTTCATTTCAAATATGGTGTCCTAGTTCAAATCCTATTTTGTCTGGGCTAAACAAAAATAGGTTTCAAAAATAAAAAAACCAAGTACGATACGGCATAATTATTACATAAATGGGTAATTTTAGTCATTTATTACAAATATATAATATATTGCATAAATATTACATTTATATTCTAAGCTGCTTATTCTATCTAGTTCGTTATTTGAAGTGTTTTTAAGGCTTAAGGAAATTTGTGGTTTAAAAATGTCAGCCTAATTTATTTTGCCCTGGGCTGCTAAACTTAGCTTGGCCCTGATCACGGTGGTTCTTTTTTAGATTAAAATTCATATTATCATGTTTTTCTTGAAAAGACAAGTTTCTATATAAATTTGGAAGATAAAAAACAAATTTCATTATAAAAAACAAAGATGAAAAAGAAACTCTTATAATACAACATACATGGCTTTCTTTATACAAAAGATAGCGTGGGACAGTAGTAGGTGGGATTTTCCTCATAAATTTTAATGGTCATTTTTAGGTTCACTTATTGTAGGTCTTTGGCTATGTTAGATCTTTTTCAAATAATTTTTTGAAATAAAAATTTCCCAATTACGTTATTTTTAAACGTTATTAATTTTCCTAATTTTTCATTCTAATCTTATTTATAGTTACATATTGCATACACATTTGGGAGAGAGAAGTATTGTTGTTAAACCGTTCAATTTTTATAAACGGCTAAACCCAATATTTTAGCCAAAAAATAATATGCAAGCTTGGAGAATCTGCTCATTGATTGCAGATAGATTTCGGCATCGTCTTTCGTAATATTATTTTGGCTAAAATCTTATTTAAAGTCAAAAATCGAACCTTTTAACACGCTAGAGAGGTGGGCAGGGAGGTTATTAGCTCAAAATGACATTTATGAAACCAGGCAAATTTGCGTTGGTGGAAGGGCTCCCTTGGGTTCGCGCCTGTTATCTTAATAGATTTTATATTTCTATGCGTCCTTTGTTAATAAATAATAAATTAAAAAAATATGAGAAAGTATTGTATATCTAAAGGTTCGCTATTGTGAACTTAAATTATTTCCTTAATAAAAAAAAATATTAGTAAATATATCAGCCCAAAAATTCCATTTAATTTTTAAAGATAATGGTCAACCCATCATTTTTTTGACCTTAATTATATCGTAAAAAATTAATCAAATAAAGTATTATATTATGACAATATCTAGGGATGGAATAATTATTTTTTTTCTAAACGTAGGCAGGATAAAAATATATCCTAATTTATCAAAAAAATTTTTACGAATTTTTTAGAGTATCAATAAATTTTAATATGAATTAGCCTTTTCCTCT